CGACCCCCACTCCCCAGTATCCCCTCCCACCAGAAGCCCTAGGAGCACAGGCGGGGTGGGTGTAGCGCTGCTTCCCCAGAGGGGCGCGACTGAGATGCTCCACCAGCCGCTTCCAAAGACGACTCCCAGTCTGGCAAGGTCACACGGCCGGGCTCCGCGGCTGGACTTCACCCTTAGAAGAGCGATTCGTCTGCCCTAATCTTGGCCTGCAGCCTGAGCTGGGAGGTGGAGGCAGTTGGGTCTTGCAGCATCTTGTTCAGATAATTCGAAGATGCTTATGCTTTTCTCGGGGTCTCGATTTCTTGCACTGGACATACTCTCCCGGTTTGCACCAGTTCTGGGTTATCATAACCTAGGTGTCATAAAAACAGGTTTAAGAGCCCATTGAGTCAGGAGGACCACTGGTGTTGTGTCTCTCAGTCCACACCTCACTTCCCCTCCCCCCTACAACCCAGTCATCTTTACATGTTGTCCTTGGTCCTAGCTGTTTGCAAATTCTGCACGCAAACAATAGTGTGAAGCCTGGTATTCAATTGTTGAAAATAAATTAGTTATATTTTTATTTATTGTGCACAAGGTGGACTGATGGCGTGTTACCAGGACTTGCACTGGAGGTCAGAGGACAACTCTCAGGAGTTGGTTCTCACCTTCCACCATGTGGGTTCCAGGGTTCAAAGTCAGGTCATCAGGCTTGGCAGCAAACCTTTACTCTCTGAGCCATCTGACCAGCTCCTAGCTAACACTTTTAGATAACTATGGGGTTGACTTTAGCCATTTGTGTTTCCAGCTCATTGAAACGTCTTTCTAAATTTATTTTTATGCATCTGTGGTGTGTGTTTGAGTACAGGGGCACACGAATGCCACCAAGAACTTGCGGGGCTCACAGAACAGCTTTTGGGAATAGGTTCTCTCCATGGTGGGCTTCTGAGATGGAATTCAGGTCACTATGTTTGCTCAGCAACACTTTTACCTGCTCAGCCACCTTACTGCCCTAAAACACCCTTTTCTTTCTTTCCTTCTTTTTATTTTATATTATTATTATTATTTGTAAAAGGAGTTTCATAGTTTCAAGCTCAAACTCAACAATGATATCTATAAATGGGCAAGACCACTCAGGTAAGGTGCCCATTCCACTGTGACTATCATGTCCACTAAGATACGACTCTGGAAAAGTTCTGTATAAAAGCACGTTCAAAACAAAAAAAAATTTTTGTAGCAATAAGGTTGGAACATCTCCTCCCTAGGCCCTGATTGTATTTTCTGAAAGTGACAGACCTGTGACCCAGTGCCTTGTAATTAATTAGTGTTTTCAAAGAGAGTGGTCTAACCCTGGCTCTACTCAGAAACCAGAGGCTCTATCCTGCCTTTGCTATTCCTTGAGGTTGCATGGTTTTGCTGGATAGCGTGGGAAGAACACAGGGTCTCACTATGTAGATCAGGCTACCCTTAAATTCATAGAGATCTGTGTGCCTCTGTCTCCCAAGTGCTGGAATTAAAGGCATGTGTTTCATACAATGCCCAACCTACATTCCCTGGCATTTTTAAAAAAAATGGTTTTGAAGATAGGGTATCACGTAACTCAGACTGGCCTATAACTTGTTATATAGCCATGACATTTTTTTTTTTTACTGTTTCTTGAGATAGGGTATCATGTAACTCAGACTGGCCTAGAACTTGCTATATGATTCAGAACTTCTGGTCTTCTGACCTACATCTCCTGAGTAGTGCGATTGCAGGCACTGGCTACCATGCCTGTTTATTTCGTTTTGTTTTTCTAGCCTGTGGTATGTATTTTGTGTAGCCTTGTCCCTACAGGGCTTCTACAGAATCATCCACCAGGTACCGTTAGGGCTCAGAAAACGTTGAAATGGAAGGAAAGCAGAGACAAATTCTTTTCCAAACCTCCTGCCCTCGTTACTGCCATTGCCCTTTCTCCCTCAAGGTGGGGGTATAGGAACCAGAATTCTTTTTTTCCAGTGGAGGTCATAAAGTCTGGAACCCCTCTTCCTAGAGGACAGCTGTAAAACCTAAAAATGTGTGATGTAAAGGAATGCTGTTCTGCTGTCCTGCCAGTGTTCCTACAGTTAAACCCCTCCTTTCCAGGTTCTACCGTCCTCAACAATAAGAAGGTATTATCGCATATAAATAAAACCATGATAAGTGACCTCTTCGGTCCATTCATTTAACTTCTCACTGACATCAGGGACCCCGATCTTTCCCCATATTTTCACTTTTGACACCCATAGGTCACAGCCACACAGCATCCCGCACAAGTCAAGACCAACACTTTCCATGTAGCCTTTTATTGGCAGGAAAAGCCTTTCTCAGAAGCCCTCAGGCAGGTTTGCCACTCCTAAACCTGTCAAGTATCAACATAAAATAATACCTCTCTACTTTCACGGATATAGTAACATTGTTTATTTACCCTGGCCAGGAATACAGCCTTAAGTTACCCCATGACACAGACCAAGGAAGGTCATAAGCCAACATATTTAATGCATCAATAGCATGCTAAGGAGGTGAGCTACAGCAAAGTGGGGACATTTTATATAGGTTTCAACTTTTAGCCCACCTTAGCTTTGGGTTACTGGAAGCTAGAGATTTGTTTGCTTTAAAATACATCCCTGTGGCTGGGCATTGATGACTCACGCCTTTAATCCCAGCAGAGGCAAGCCTATCTCTCGGCCTCTATATATATATCCTTAGGCTTTACCTAATAGTCAAGAAGGTTTTAAGTCAGATGCAAAGGTTCAAAGTGCATGAAAGGCCTAAAGCAATCCAAGAATGTTTTGCCTCCCAACTTGCAACATTCTATTTTTATGCGTTCTACTCTGTTCTATCATGATGTTCTGCTCTGCTGAGGTCCGAGAGCTTGCAAGATTTTAAACAGAGATATGGCTTCAGCTTCACAGTAGGATAGAAAGAGGACCCATTGTGCATAACTTCGGTTAGTGATAATTCTCCCCTTGTGTCTGGGAATTGGACTCATCTCCCTATCCACACGGCCATGAAAAGGTAGATGAATACTGGGGCAAAACTGGAGTTGTCTTTGGAGGAATGAAGGGAGACTAGATGCTAGAAAGACAAACTGTCTGGAGCAGTGTTGGCCTCTTATGAAAGAGGAAAGCAGTTAGACCACATATTGACTCTTCAGCCTGGAACCTGTACATGTGAGATGTGCCCACATCTCTTCACTAGAGCAAGAGTGCCTGGCTAAGTCTGACATCAGTGGAATAGGGAGGTATAATCCTTCCCTCAACAGCAGCAAAAATGTCGAGACATTGTAACCAATAGCCCAATCTGCTACAAATTCTGCTTTGCCGACCTTTTCTCTTCTCTTTAGGACTCCTAAGGGTACTATACACAAGAAAGAAATGGGGTAGAAAGCAAGAGGTTGGGACAGGGGAGATGACACGGTTGGTGAGACACATTCTCTGCAAGCACAGGACTTGAGATCAGATCCCCAGTGCCCATGTAAAAAGCCAGGCAAACCAGCCCTCATCTACAGTCCCAGTGCTGGGGACGCAGAGACTGGGGGGTTCCCTGGGGCTTCCTGGCCAGTCAGTGTAGCCAAACCATAGCTAATAACACATAACCTGCAGGGCAGAGTTCAGTCAGCAGACCAAGTCCACTCACTTGGCAAATTTGGGGACAGTATAGTTAGACTGCATGCAGGAAGAGAGCCATATTTATACAATCTGCAAAACAGACCAGCATTTTGGTTTGTTTTGGAAATGTGGGCCTTGTTATGTTGCCAGACTAGTCTTGGACTCTTGGATTCAATGCACTCCTCCCATCTTGACTCCAGGGTAGCTGGATATATACACATAGTGTCCAGCCACGCCCTAACAGAGCAGACCTGTTTTACTCAACTGAGCTTGTGCTATTTGGAGACCTATTTTGTGTGGTACAGAGAATAATCTATGATACCCAAATTCTCAGTTTTGAAGTATGTTTTTTAAGTATACAGCAAACCAAGGTAAAAGAATTAATAACAAGTAGCTGACAGACAGACAGACGCAAAACTTCATAAAATGTGTCGCTCAAAGCATTCAGCGGAAACAATGGAGGAGGCCAGGAGGTGGTGGTATGCGCCTTTAATCCCAGCATTCGGGAGGTAGAGGCAGGTGGATTTCTGTGTGACCAGCCTGGTCTACAAGAGTTAATTCCACGACAGGCTCCAAAGCCACAGAGAAACCCTGTCTCGAACCTCCTCCCCCCAAAAAAAGAAACAATGGAGGAAGCCCTATTAAGGCAGCCAGCCAGCGTTGCCAGCAGAGAGTCTTGGTCAGGGCAGAGCATCCCCTTGTCTCTAAGGTAAGGCTTCCAAGTAAATGAAAAACAGCCCCAGAGAGTTAAGACCATCGGATTCAGTGCTCACATCTTCCTGCAGAAACGACTGCAGAGGCAGTCAGCTTGAGTTCCCGATTCAGCTTCCCATAGCTGGACTTCCCATGGCGGAATTTCTCTTTTTACCACAGGTGTGTTTGTAACGAGGGACAAACACTAATAACCTCTATTGGAGATAGTGTTCCTTTCAGCTGCTCTCAAGGGCGCACCGCTTTGCAGTAGGGTTCAAAGGATGGGGCAGCACATCCTGGACAAGGAGCCTTGGAAAACATTTAACACAGACGTGTATAGGTCTGAAAGTGGGAGGGGCCTACCCTTCTTCCAAAATCAGAGTCTCAGTGAGCTCAAAAAGCATGAGACAATTTACAATATAATGCACTCTACAAGATTAGGCTGGTTTACACACCAGGAAATGGGCAATCACCTTTTCACACAGTGACACCAACTCCTAGTGAAATATGGACTAGTTAGGACTATGTTTTAGGGACAGCCAGCCTGGTCTACAAAGTAAGTTCCAGGACAGCCAGGGCTACACAGAGAAAGCCTGTCTGGACAAACTAAAAAATGAGTCGGGCGTTGGTGGCACACGCCTTTAATCCCAGCACTCGGGAGGCAGAGGCAGCAGGATCTCTGTGAGTTCGAGACCAGCCTGGTCTACAACAGCGAGTTCCAGGACAGCCTCCAAAGCCACAGAGAAACCCTACCTCAAAAAACCAAAAAAAAAAAAAAAAGGAAAGAAAAATGAAAAAATTACTACCTCCCCACTTGCCTGTCTGTTAGTACATGCTCAGTGACAGCAAAGCAAATAAGTAGGAAGGTAATAATATCAATAGAAAAGCAGCAGAAACAAAAAAACAACAAAAATTAATTTAAAAAAGCAGAAACAAGAAACATCACACCCAGTTCAATAGCTCGTGATGTTTTCCTATAACTTTATGTTGTATACAACTAGTAGAGAACTATTTTGCTAGTCATTATGCTCTTGTCACTCTATAATTTGGACAAAAAAATTAACTTTTCCTAAATATTCAGAGGTCAGCTACAGTGTCATCAGTAGTACAGTGAAGCTGCCTTCCAAAAGAATACTGCTCCCATCTTGTAAATGGAAAATGTACTCCTGAAGGGACAAGAATGGGTACATCTGAGTGTGATCTTAGTAGGTGTATGATTTTGACTAGATAATTTATTTTAGTGTTTATGAGTGCTGTATGTCTGTGGACCATGTGTGTGCCTGGTATCTACAGAAACCAAAAGAAAAGGTCGTCAGATCCCCTGGAACTGGAGTTACAGATGTTTATGAACCACCATGTGGTTCTCAGAAGCAAACCTATGTCCTCTGCAAAAGCAGCAAGTGCTCTTAACTGCTGAGTCATCTCTCCATCCCCTGAATATATCATTTAATTGAATACTTTGAATTAGTTTTGGCAATCAGCAAGTGGGACTCAGAGAGGTTGGCCCCTCTGGACTGTTTATTGTGTGACATGTTAAAAACTGCACATGGGCAGAAAACAGCCTGAAGAAATCAAGGCACTTCCCTTGGTGGCCTAATAGAATGACTGCTATGACTAGAGCTAAAGAGACAAAGCTATGATTTGTACAAACCCAAACCTTGATTTCCCTCCTGTGCAAGATGTGCTGTGACTGGTGGAAACACAAACCTTTACCTATATGTGAGCTGGGCTGTGATTGATCCAAGCACCCTCTGTAGTTATATAAGGTTCTCTTAGACAACCAGCTTGGGAGACATCGTGCTGTGTTGCTACAGAAGACCCAATTAAAATCTTGTCTCCAGTGACGTCCTCGACCACTTTAGCAGTATGGACTGGGCTGGTAACATTTCAGCAGCAGAAATAGCAGAGAAGTTATGATTTAGAGTCAGCAGCGGCTGCAGCAGTGGCTGTTTTCCTTTTTCTATTATAAACAATACTGCAATGTTTCGTATGGTGTGTGTGTGTGTGTGTGTGTGTGTGTGTGTGTGTGTGTCTTACTAAATTGTCTTAAGTGTGTGATACTTATTTGTTTTTTTGGTTTTTTGGTTTGTTTTTTTTGAGACAGGGTTTCTCTGTGACTTTGGAGGCTGCCCTGGAACTAGCTCTTGTAGACCAGGCTGGTCTCGAACTCACAGAGATCCTCCTGCCTCTGCCTCCCGAGTGCTGGGATTAAAGGTGTGCGCCACCAATGCCTGGCTAAGTGTGTGATACTTAATCCCATACCCCCAAGCAGATGGAATTACAGGTATGCTCCACTGCACACAGCTGTCAAGTTATTTTCTAATTCAGTAGAAAGAACTCACGCCCTGCCCATCGGCATGAGAGCCCAGTGCTCTGTATCCTATGCTTGTACCAGCATACTTTTCTATTTTTCTACTTAGATGGGTGTGAAATAGTGTCCCAAAGGCTTTCTTAATCAGGGGTAAGGTGTAATTTTTGCATATTTATTTGCCACTTAGAAATCTTTTAGAAATTACCTTTCTTTTTGTGTTTTGCCTCTTTCCTGTTGTCTCATATTTATTACTGATTTGCAGGAGCTTTATTATAAATTTGTGCACATAGTCTTGTCAATAAACAAACAAAGAATGCCTCAGATTGAAGTTTGTAATTTATCTTTGTTTCATCTTTGGTTGAGTAGTATTTTAATTTGTAAAGTTTTTTTGTTTTGTTTTGTTTTTTGTTTTTTTGTTTTTTTTTCGAGACAGGGTTTCTCTGTGGCTTTGGAAGCTGCCCTGGAACTAGCGTTTGTAGACCACGCTGGTCTCAAACTCACAGAGATCCACCTCCCTCTGCCTCCCGAGTGCTGGGATTAAAGGTGTGTGCCACCACCACCCGACTAATTTGTAAAGTTTTAAATAACATAACATTATACACATTTTTGGGTTGCAGTATTACTTTGATACACATGTTTAATGTCTGGTGGT